CAGGATACAAAAATGTCCATAAAAAAGGGAATGCTAGTGGTTTAGTGCCCTTTTGTTTTTTTCTTTCCTCCCACCCAGTCTTTTTAAGGCAAGCGTTAGCTAAAATTTTTAGAGCTGCCCAGGAGATTTTGGGCTTCTCCGAGGTCTGATCATATTGAGATGTTTGGAACCCAATTTCTTCTTTTTGAAACAGCAATCCCACACGGTTTATCATATATTTTTTCTGGCCCGTACTTTGTACCCTTTTGCCTGTGAGCATCATCCCAGCATCCAGATGGAGAATCTCTTGCCCTTGGGCTCAACCTCTCTGCACTTGAGCACTAGGCAGCTGTGGACACGTGAAGCTTTGCACCGCTCACACAGGCTCATGAAGCTTTTCTTTTTCTTCCCCTCTGCCGCTGTGTGCAGCTCAGGGCACCATGGCGTGCTCCAAGGCGATGGGCATGGCCCTGCCACCCGGTTCAGCGCTGCTGTGGAAAGCCCCGTCGAGCCCTGTGGGTGCTGGGACACCTCCGTGTCACCGTTGCGTTTGGCGTGATGCAACACTAGCTTGGGACACGGGAGTGGAGTAGCCGCAACAGGGTGGGCACTGTGCTGGGGACAAGCAGCCAGGCTTTTCTTCTGGGGCTGCCTCATTTAGCACAAGCTTGAGGTTCCGCATCCCCCTGCAGCATACCAACAGTCCTTCGGGGCACAGCAGTCACGTTTTAGCTCCTGATGGTCCAGTTGGGGCTCACACGTCCTTGTTGTTCCCGTTTCAGGGTTTCTTGGGCGACCCTGGACCGGTTGGGGAGAAAGGAGAGAAGGGAGTGAAGGTGAGGGTGTCTGTCCTTCTTCTTCGCAGCCCTGCCTGGGTCGGGCAGGGGGTTGCTCCCTCCCTGCCGCTGCCCCCCAGCCCCAGGTCATGCTCTCCTCCATCGCTAAGGTTGCTCTTGGCTTTTCCAGGGGGTGAAGGGAGAAAATGGCCTGCCAGGTCCTGCTGGGCTTCACGTGAGTTAACGGGGAAGCCGGGGGTGTCTCACGCCCTGCCGTGCCGGGATTGCTCCTTCCCTCCATCCCCTTTCCTGGGCCGACCCCTTTGCTTCTCTGCAATGGCCCCGAGCTCCATCCCTGGCTCCAGCCCACGTTCTCCTGCCTTTGGGCAAAGCCCTGGTGGTCTCTGTGTTTTCCCTGACCCTCTTGCAAGGGATGGGACAAAGGCAGCTGCCACCTCGGGGTGAGCACCTCGCTGACACCCCGCTCCCGGCTTCTCTCCCAGGGGATGTCAGGTCTGAAGGGTGTGATGGGCTTCCAAGGTCCCGTGGGGCCAGAGGTGAGTGGTTTTGCTTTCTCTGTGTCACCAGCCCTCCCTGAAAAGGTGCAGGAGCTTGCTGCTCCCCACTGGAAAGATGGGTCTGAGGAGGGAGGACTTGGGCTTTGCAAGTCCTTGGCACAGTTTTGTGGTTCGCTCGTACAAAATCCTTGTTTGGTTTTTTTTTTTTTCCCCGAGAGCTGGACCTAAACTACATCTGTATGGAGGTGGCTCTTATTAATGGGGATATTGCCCCAGAGCAACCAGGCACGTTGTCCCTCTGCATGTTGGGGGCAGGAGCCTCCCCTCTCCTCCAACATCTCCCACATGGACGTTTGCATCCCAGCTCAGTCTTCTGGCTGGTGATGAAGAGAAATGAGCCTTTGCAGAGCACATTGCATCACGGTTTATTTTAGGTGACCACCTTCAGCTGAGATGAATCCCAGGCTGACAGCACCTGGGTTTTTCCATGCTGCTCTCAGCACACTGAAAGCTTAACTGCTGCCACATCTTTGGGAGGCATCCCAGCCAGGGAAGGGTTTGCAGAGGATTTAAAAGGAAGATTGGAGTGGTTTGGTGCTGGTGACTGGAAGCACCTTCCAACACGAAGGGCGTGAGGGAGCCAGGGGCTGGCCAGGTAACTGTTCGAAGGGACATCAAGTAGCTGATGCTTGATGCAAAGAAAGGGGGGAATTTGGGATGTGAAGACTAAAAGGAGAGAATCAAAGCAAAACAGGCTAGAAAAATAGCATCTTTTAGAATCATAGAATAGTTTGGGTTGGAAGGGACCTTTAAAGATTATCTTCTCCACCCCCCCTGCCATGGGCAGGGACATTTTCAACTAGATCAGGTTGCTCAGAGCCCCGTCCCACCTGACCTTGAATGTTTCCAGGAATGGGTCATCCACCACCTCTCTGGGCAACCTGTGCCAGTGTTTCACCACCCTCACTGTAAAAAATGTCTTCCTTATATCTAGTCTAAATCTACCCTCTTTTAGTGTAAAACCATTCCCCCTTGTCCTGGAGCAACAGGCCCTGCTAAAAAGTCTGTCCCCATCTTTCTTATGAGCCCCCTACAAGTATTGAAGGGCCCCGATAAGGTCTCCCCGAAGCCTTCTCTTCTCCAGGCTGAATAACCACAGCTCTCTCAGCCGTTCCTCATACGAAGGCGGTGCC